CTCTCACCAGAGTAGTCACACGCTGAACATCGGCGGGGGGGGCGCCCATCCTGCTGCAACGTTCCCGGAGGCGCCCCATGCTGCCCCCGCCCAGAGACGAAGCAGCACCCGCAGGACAGCACGGAGCACCACCCAGGTACATTTCTGTAAGGACGGAGGCGGCGTCGTGACTAAACCCATTCAACCACTGCTCGGACGAGACTGGAAGACTGCTCAGCCCAGGCGGCCGCCTAGTCGCGCAGATCGAGGAATCTGACCTCGATGCTTTTACCCGATGCTTTAGAAGTGTCCGAGGCTCCGCCGACGAAAACAGCCGACTCGACTTTGCGCCCGAATTCGCCGCTCCTGTGAGCGATGGATGGCCTGCACGCAGCGCTGGCCGCCGGACGAGGCCGTCTCCGACGGCCCCGCGTGTGCTCATTGCCCGCCGCCCCCACGGACACGACCACCTCCGTCTGGGGGCTGACGAAGGAGGGCTCTCTCTTCTCGAGCTTGCCTGGCTTGCTTCTGGACTGCGACTTCTTCTCTAACTCCTCACTCACGTGCCCGATGAGCATCGGGGCACAGCACGCCGTGGGATCGACGTGCTGCCGCCCGATCAGGTCCATCTCGTCATTCGTGATGACTGCCGACCCAGCGACGGAGGAAGAGGCGCCAGCGGTTCCGCCGCGCTTTCCCCCTCGAACCTTCTCTGCGTACTGGTACTCTATGGTCCGGAGCCGGTGTGCGATCTCCCTAATCACCACCAAGTCCGACAGGTCGAGCTGATCCACATCCGCCTTCCACTGCTCGACCTGGTTCCTCGCCACCTTCTCTATCAAGAGCACGTGCAGCCCAGCGCAAGCGATGCCGCGCTTCTCGGCAAACACCTCCAGCTGCCCTGGGCCCTCGTCACCGACCGAGAAGACGGCGTTCGACTCCGCGAACTGCCAGACCTCAGGTTCAGCTCCCGGCGGAGCCACTCCACGGCCAGCCGGTGTCACCAGATCCTGCGCCTCCTCAGTCAGCCCGCGCAGCGCGGCCTGTTCAGGTTCAGCACCAGCTCTGAAATTGTAGATGTGGGCACCCTGCTGGCTCGGTGGAATGCTGCCGTCTGTCTCGAAAGCCCGCACACCTGTGATATCGCCGTTGCTGGGGCCGTAGTCCTCCTCATACAGGTCCTGGTCGGGTGTATATATGATCCACTTTGTGTTCTCGGCATGCGCGAGCAGGATGCGAACGTGCAAGAGGTCATCATCATAGTGCACCAGCAACTCACGCCCCCGGGCCAACGACGATGACACCACCGCCAGCCACACTGCTCCTGCCAGCCCTGCTGCTGCCACTAGCTGCGCCATCGGTCAGGCTGACCACCCGCTTGGAACTCCGAACCGAGCAGCCACGACCACGGTGAGCTCCCACCACGAGGGCCGATGCGACGAAGCCGGCGTGCAGCACGAAGTTGAACTCGTTGCACGCCCTGCCGCTCGTCGGGCCTGCCAGCTGCTGGGAGACCAGGCGCTCGAGATTGGGGCACTCTCCACTTGCCTCGCCCGAGACGACGCAATGGCAGAACAAGGCGAACACGCTTCCTCCACCTCTGGTTCCGAAAAGAGATGGTACAATCCCGACAGACAATCACGTGTGAGTGTGTACGCAGCAGAAGCTCTACCTGCAAGTGTTTCCAGGGAGCCCCCCTTTGAGCAACACGCGCTGCAGAGAGCAACATCGGCTGACGCAAGACGTGCGCGCACTAGTATGCTACAAATAATAACCGTAGCCCCCCGCAGATATTGATAAGAGTGAGGGGGCGGCGGGGAAATCGGCAGTTTGCGAGACTCTGGAGAAGCCCGCCACAGGCGCCAAAGTTTCACAGATCATACAATGAGCCCGACGTAGGCGCCGATTTATTCGCTAAACCACTGTGGGTAGGTCGCGTGTGGGTAGCGGGTGGGTCGCAAATGGGTCGCGGGTGGGACGCGGGTGGGTCGCTGCTGGGTCGCGGGTGTAGAGGGCAAAAAATCCATCCCATAATATTCACCCTGACAAGCGAAGCCATTTAGTAAACTCACACAAGGAATGAATCGAACAGGGCAGGGCTGTTTAGTAAACGCACAGGGCCGTTTAGTAATGTCAATTTTCGGTTCCGGGTGGTTTCTCCTCCTTTGAGGGTGGGTCGCGGGGTGGGACGCGGGTGGGTCGCGGGGTGGGTCGCGGGTGGGCCGCGGGTAGGTCGCGGATGGGTCGCGGGGTGGGTCGCGGGTTGGTCGCGGGGAGGGTCGCGAGTGGGTCGCGGGTGAGTCGCGGGGTGTCGCGGGTGGGTCGCGGATTGGCTCGCGGGTGGGTCGCGGGGTGGGTCGCAGGGTGGGTCGCAGGGTGGGTCGCGGGGTAAGTCGCGGGGTGGGTCGCGGGTGGGTCGCGGGTGGGACGACGACAACAAACAACAACAACAACAACAACAACAACAACAACAACAACAACAACAACAACAACAACAACAACAACAACAACAATAATAATAACAACGACAACAACAACAACAGCAGCAAGAGGAACAGCAACAGCAACAACAACACACATTCCCAATTCAGCCACGCCCTTAGGGACAATGAATGACCGTTCGGCCCCCTCACTCGGATGATGATGATGATGATTATGATGATGATGGTGAGGATGATGACGACGACGACGACGACGACGACGATGATGATGATGATGATGATGATGATGATGATGATGATGGGGATGAGGATGAGGATGAGGATGATGATAAGGATGAGGATGAAGATGAGGATGAGGATGACGATGACGATGGCGATGGCGATGACGCTGAGACTGAGGAAGCGGAAGACGCGGATGATGAGGAGAAGAGGAGGAAACGAGGAGCAGGAGGAGCAGGGGAGCATGAGCACGAGGAGCAGGAAGAGCAGGAGGAGCAAGAGCAGGAGCAGGAGGAGCGCCATACACAAAATCTCCTCTCACCCCCTACGGTTCCTACGCTCACCCTCTACATACCCTGTCTCGGCCGCTGACAGGGCTGATGCTGGTCCACTGGTGTCCTCTCTCAACTTGCCGCGCCACTTTGGAGCCCCTTGGACACTCTAGGCATCGTGAGGGCTGCTCTGGGGGTCATCTGGGCCTCGCTGAAAATCATGGGACGCCGTGGGCCAGGGCCATCTCTGGCAACACTCCTCGACTGTTACGAAGCCTCATGAATAGGGCTGGAGTAAATGGAGCCGAAGGATCGCACCACAGCGCCGATGCACAGGCGATGCATCGGCGATGCATCGGCCGCGTGGTGGTGGATAAGATCGAACTCTGCATCGCGCCGCATCGCCGATGCATCGGCGATGCAGTACGACCCTCCAATTCCCAGGGTACGGCTTTTCATGCTGAATCGTTTTTAACGGAGGGCCCAGCAAGGCAAGGGTCCTGCACACCAATCAGGGCGACGAAATCTATACACGCCCACTGCTCCCTGGCCAGGCCCATCCTGAACCCAGCAGCGGTGTATACGCCACGCCCTCCTGGCTTGGCCAGGAAGGCTCACACAGCTCCTGTGCCCAGGAAGGGCCAAGCCAAGGGGGCAGTGAATATGTACATGATATCGGAGAAGATAAAACCCAAATCAGGGCTATAGGGCTATTGAGTTATAGGGCTATCGGGCGATAGAGCTATAGAGCTGTAGGGCTATAGGGCTATTGGGCTATAGGGCACCCCCGGGCACCCCCAAGCACCCCCGGGCACGCCCAGGCACCCGGGCACCCGGGCACCCGCGGGCACCCACGGGCACCCGGGCGTGCGTGCAGCGAAAATCGGCGGCAAACCTAACCTGACCTTATGAATATTGAGCTATAGGGCTATAGAGCTATAGGTCTATAGAGCTGTAGGGCTATAGGGCTATTGGGCTATAGGGCTATAGGGCTAATCCAAAAGCCCTAATAAAAAATTGAAATTTGACATTTCATTTTTCCCTACAAGGGCTGCTGCAGCCGTTGCGGAAAATCCTGCAACGGCTGTTGCAGCCATTGCAGGTTTTCTCCTCCTCTCCCTCCTCTGCCTCCTCTGCCTCCTCTGCCCCCTCTACCACCCCTGGCTCTGCCTCCTCAGGCTTTGGCTCCTCAGGGTTTGGCTCTGGCGTTGGCGGCCCTGGCGCTGGCTCATCTGGCGTTGGCGGCAATGGCGCTGGCGCTGCCTCGTCTGCGTGTGGCGGGGGTGCCCCCCCTGGCTGTAGCTCTGGCGGGGGTGCTTCTTTTGGGGGGTGGCAGAGGCGGAGCCGCCGTCCCTGGCTGCGGCGCTGCTGGCTCCGCTGGCTCAAGCGCAGCGGCAGCCGGCGCTTGCCGCGCCTCTCGCTCAGGGGCAGCTGCCCCTGATGGGCGCCAATCTGTCGGTCGGAGATGCATGGCAGGGGGGGGGGGGGGGGGCGATGCCAAACTGGGTCGCTGGCCAGTCTGCCCGGCACGGCCCATGCAAGCAGCGGTGCACCTTCAACAAACCCACGGGCACCTCGGCGCCGCCACTGCGGCGACAAATGTTTACCATCCCTGTCTTGCCGTACTGCGTCACGCGCGGAAAAGATTGCGTCTCGGGGTTCTTCGCCCACTCGGGCTCGAAGTTCTCCCCCGCGAACACGCCCACGCCGTGCCATCGCACACCTAGGCTGCGGCACGTGCACCCGAATGTGCCATCTGGCGGGCGCTCGGCAGGCATCGCTCGCGCAGGCCCCCTGCGCGCGCGCGCCGCCGCCCCTTGGAGCAGCCCTTTGATGCGAAAAGGGCGTCGCGAACGAACAAGCAGGAAGAGGCGCACTGCGGGGGGCAGGGGGGGGGGCAAGACCATTGGCTGCAGAGGAGCAGGCGGAGAAGCAAGCGACAAGCAAGGGGGGGGGGGGGGGGGGCGGGCGCAGGGGCTGCGTTTTCATCACTTTGTGAATGAGTCTCGCTGGCATTGGCGCCTGCGCCGCCGCGATTCGCCCATGAGAGCCCGAGCGCGGCCCCCACCGCAGGACAATGGTTACGGCTTTAGGCTGCAGGAAGTTTCTGCATCAACGCGGCCACGCGCGCTTCCAGGTAGGGCCTGCAGGCCCCCTTCTTCTGCAGATGACTGGCCCTGTGCCACGCGCAGGGAGGCTCGCCGCCGCCGCAAACTTGCAGCCACTTCGCGCGGGTGAAAGTGGCCAGCTGGCACACGACAACCTTCCCGCGCGAGCCCCCTGCGCGCGTGACCGTTCCCCCCCACGCGCCCTTGCATTCCTTGGTGGGGAACAGCCATCGGCGCGCGTAGCCAGCGTGCGCGGCGCCCTGGGCACTGACCACCTGGTCCACAGGAACTGGTGGACTGGCGGCTTTTGTCGGTGTCTGTAAGCCCGCGCTCTCTCCAGAGGGCAGGCTACCTTGCGAGTCCGCCCCGTTAGCGGCAGCCGCCGCTGCGGCGCATTCGTCGCCTGGGTTCTGAACCAGCGGGGCCCCCGCCAGATCGCACTCGGACCTGGGCCGCCCGAAGAGCCAGGGCACGTCCGTCTCGCGGATCCAGTACTCTTTCTTCTTGGACGAGGTCAGGCACACCTCCCTCTCGTCCGTCATATCGGAGAACTCGAGCGGGCACTTCTCACACACGGAACAGACAACGACGCGCCCCAGCACCGTTTGTTTCTTTTTCGCTGCCGCTACGGGATCTGCCGCCGCGGGATCGGGCAGGTCGGGCAGGGCGCCCATGGCGTCCACGGCGCCCTCTCCCGTCCTCGCCAGCCGCCACTGCGGCGCCCTCGGCTCGCGACTGGGCCCTGAACGCGCCCGCGATCTCCTTCCACACGCGCCCCTGCACAGAAGCCCCGTTTGAATTCCTGAGCGCGTTGCCGAGCGCATGGACTACCCGCGGCAGGCCCAGAGAGAAGTGGGCGAACTTCACGCGCCCTGCGACGGTAGAGATCGCCTCGGTCTCCAAGAGCGCGCGCGGCTCTGTCAACCGACCGCCCCAGACAGAGAATCGTTCGCCCAGCTGCACGGGTTCCCACTGGGGGGAAGCACGCGCGCTCTTCGACTGCCCCATGGACGCCACTGCGTCGCCCGCCGCGCAAACGGAGCCGAAGGGAACGAGCGTCTGCGCTGGAGCCGGTACGCTGCGGCGGCACCGCGCAGCATTGCTCTCCAGCTCCCCATCCTGCCACGCGGCGCTGCCCGTCACCCCTCCCTCCGGCCATGTCCCCGCACTGCTCGTCCGACATCCCCCCTCCCCCTCCTCCAACCCGCCCTCCTCTTCCTCCCCCTTTCTCCTCCTCCTCCTCTCTCCTCTTTCCTCCCTCCTCTTTCCTCTCTCCTCTTTCCTCTCTCCTCCCTCCTCCCTCCCCCCTTCTCCTCCTCTCTCCCCCCTCTCCCCCGCCTCCTCCCTCCAGCACCCTCGAAGACTCTGGCGGCTCCTCTCGGCGCCAGAAGGGGCCACCGGAGGCTTCGAGGGCGCTGGACGGGGGAGGCGGAGGAGAAGGGGAAGAAAGGAAGAGGAGGGAGGATGGAGGAGGGAGGAGATAGGAAAGAGGAGAGCGGGGGGCGCTTCCTCCACATCAGCACGCCCGCACCCCGCATTGTTCTCGCCGCCGCGCCTGCGCCCCCGTCCGCGTCGGAGCACGGGCGCCACTGCATGGGCGCCACTGCGTCCATAGGAGCATGGACGCCACTGCGTCCTCTGCTTCAGATGTCCTGGCGCCCATATTCGTCGAAAACGGTGTTGTGCTGCTGCGGCTGGCATCTTCGCGCTCGTTCTGGCCATCTTTGCGGCTTTCCTCCAGTCGGTCGGGGCCGCTTCCTTCTTCCTCTTCACATGCGTGTCTTCCATGATCAGTTCCTCGCCCGCCTGGAGATCCACCGCGTTGGTCGCCACTGGGATTCGGGCGCAGACGACCCGACCGCCGATGACTACGTTCACTTCCTTCGGCGCGAGCTCCACGTTAAAACGCGCTCGCCCCGCCTCTGCTTCAATGACGTTTCGCGTTCCAAGCTCTTCGGTCGTGAGCCTCGTCACGCTCCAGAAGGGGTGCATGGACTCCTTGCCCGCCCACGTCCACTCTCGTTGAGCGGGGTCCGTCTCCTCCACATCGTAGGACGTCTTGCTCTCGGGCGCGGCAAAGTCTGGATGCGTGTAGAACGAAGTCTTCGCAAGCTCTTCTGGGCTCTTGGCCCACACTTCCACGTGAACCTTGTCTGCGTGGCTGCTCGCATCCCACACTTTGTTCCGTTTCGGCACACATGGCCACAACGCGAGTTTACCGGCCGCCACTGCGGCTTTGGTGCGCACTTTCACTTTGTTGGTCGTTGCGCGGCGGCCCAGGGCCACAGGTAGATTCGATTCTGTGCCCTGTTCAACGCACGAACATAGCGCCAAGTGCTTCTCCCGTAGCACGTGCAGCACCGCTCCCATGTATGCGTCCTTCTTGCCCATGTCCCTGGCGGCTGCCTGGCCCAACCACTCCGTGACTGGCAGTGGCAACCACATCGCTGGCCTCTCCCCCTTCTTAACGGTGGCCTGTTCGTTCTCGGGGCGCCCAGTGATCGCGTTGAAAATGATCGCCACGGGCTGCACGGCGGGCCCGCCCCCCTTTTCCTGAACCGACGTTGCGGTTGTCTTTTCTTCGGGCGGCAGCGTTGCAAAGTCGAACCAATTCCAGTCCTCCTGTGCCTGGAAGGTTGCCATGAGCGCCGCAGCTCTTTCTGTCGGTAGGGCGTTCGCGCACGCCGCCTTGCACCCCTGCAAGAGCGCCTGGCGGGCCTTCGCCGTCGAGGGGTTGGCCCCCTTGACCACGACAGCCATAGCGCTGGCGCACTGGATGTTGATGTTGGTCAGAAACTGAACCACCGCCGAGGCCTTGTTGTCCAGGTGCTTCGCGATGTCGGTTCTCAGGGCCACGTGGCGCGCGTGGAGAACATCCTCCATGAGCCGCAACTGCGGCTCCAGGGTTCGTTGCTTCCACGCATATTCGGGCCTGATGCACCAGCCTGGCGCCCCCGTCTGTTTGGAAGCCTTCTTGGGCGGCAACCTGTAGGCCCGCATGATGATGGCCACCTTCACGCGGGGGAACTGCGTGCTCACCTCCCCCGCGAGGCCGAACGCAGGCAGGCGCAGCATTCTCGTAGCAGAATTGACGTACGTCTCGACGAAGTCGATGAGTTCCCGTATGTGAGGGCCTCCATCGGCGCCCAGGTTCAGGATGAAGTTGAAGAAGTCGCAGAAGGAGGGGTCGGAGGTGAAGCTCCCCAATCGGGCACCTGCCGCTTGCATCACGCTCTCGTAGGTGATTGTGTCGCTGCCGTCCGCCTTTGCGTTCTTGATCTCTGAGGAGAGTACTTTCATCGCCTCCAGCTCGCTGGGCCGATTGTGGAGATTAATGGCGGCTGTGGAGAACGCCTGTGGCCGATTAGTGGCCTGGGCTATGATGGAGCAGTTCTGTTCGCCAAGCATGACATCAGGGCCCAGCACCTCGTAGAGCATACCCTCCTTCACGAGTTTCTGCGCCACAAAATGTGGAGCCAAAAATGGGGCCATAAAATGTGAAACCAAGCGGGGTGAAATGTGTCACCACGAAGACCGCGTACGAAACTACCACATGTTTACTATATTTCTGGACGCTGAGAAGCAAACGAAAACGCGCATACGAGAAACACGAAAGTGCGCAAACGAACAACAAATCAAAACATAGTATAGAGAAAAGCTGTAAGATCTATTGAGAATGGAAAAGACAGACCGAGACAGAGAGGCAGAAACAGAGAGACAACGGTCCGATCTCAAAAAAAAACATACCTGTTTCGCATTCCGAAGGTTGGGAGGTGCAGAACCCCAGGAGCGCTGCAACGCCTGCTGCAGCCGTTGCAGAACCGCCAGGGGGGTGCGGTTAAAATTTGAAATTCAAATTTTTATTAGGGCTTTTGGATTATAGGGCACCCCCGGGCACCCCCAGGCACCCCCGGGCACGCCCGGGCACCCGGGCACCAGGGCACCCGGGCACCAGGGCACCCCCAGACACGCCCGGGCACCCGCGAGCACCCGGGCACCCGGGCACCCCCGGGCACCTCCGGGCACCCAGGCACCCCCGGGCACCCGGGCACCCGGGCGTGCCGCGAAAATCGGCGGCAAACCTAACTTAACCTTATGAATATTGAGCTATAGGGCTATAGAGCTATAGGTCTATAGAGTTGTAGGGCTATAGGGCTATTGGGCTATTAGGCTATAGGGCTATAGGGCTATAGGGCACCCCCGGGCACCCCCAGGCACCCCCGCACGCCTGGGCACCCGCCCCCGGGCACCCCCGGGCACCCGGGCACCCGGGCGTGCCGCGAAAATCGGCGACAAACCTAACCTAACCATATGAATCCGCTAGGACCCCTACAGAGGCAAGCTCTGATTGGGGAATAGATTTCGTCGCCCAGAGCCACCCTTCGCGGCGGCGGCGAGGGCAAAGCGACAGTCGAGCCCCGCGGCGTTCCCCCCCCGTCAGGGGGACCGCAGCCGCCCACCATCGGTACCGTTGCTGTCGCAGCCGTCGCCGCTGGGGCAGATGGCGCCGCCACCGCCGCCCCAGAGATCATGACGTCGCAATGTTTTTCGAAACGAGCGATTTCGTCCAGTTTCGGGCCCCAGGTCCCTCACGGATCGATCTGGCTCAAAAAGAGCCGCAGCAAAATCGGGTCCAGGGCTCCGGTCGAGTTTTTGGTTACGATGTTTCGGATTTTCGCTACGTCGAATCTCAGGGACAGGCAACGCCTCCGCCGTCGACGACGCCGGCGCTGGCGACGGCGGCGGCTGCGCTCGACTACACGCAAGTGCGCCTAAGCAAGAGAGGCCTTCGGTGCGCGGCGTAAGGGAGCGCACTCAGCGATCAGGGGGACCCCAGTAGGCTTGCGCGGCGCCCAGGGCCTTGATGATGAAGGGCAGCGACGCGATGAAGAGCTCCTCTCGCCCCTCCCATGGCACTGGCCATGGCCGAAGGCCCCAGGCGACGACGAAGACGACGACGACGACGCCACCGACGACGACGACAACGACGACGACTGCGACGACGGGGAGGACAAGGGCGAAGACGAGGAGGATGGCCTGGATGACGCGAGGACAGGCAACGACGATCACCTCCCGCTGAATTTCCAACGAGAAATTTGCATTCAGCTTCCTGAACTGTTTTCCTGATGGCCTGTCCCCACATCGCTCAACCTTGACTCTCGATCACCATCCAGGGGCAGCGGCAGTCAGAGGCATGATGAAATGGATCGATACAATATCACAAAATGTGCCAGCCGAAGAGAAAGAGAGAGAGAGGACGGGAAACATCAAGAAAGCGGTCCACCAAAGTGCTCGGAACATCCGGGTCCAAGTCATTTGGAAGAAATATAAGTGAGGGCGCAGATTGAGATACTACTACGAGATCCTTCTCTTGGAGACTCACGTCCGACCGTAACCTATAGCACAAGAAACTGTTCAAGGTACTGCAATCCAAGCGATACTGTTAGAAAGCGACCACCACAATGATTAGCATTTAAGATAGTTCAATACGCGCGGCGCGGCGCCACTGCGGGACCAACGCACACATAGTGTTAGCATGTCTGGGTGATGCCGACCATACGGCTCTTTTGCATGTCCTTAGGACGGCTCGCACCGCTGGTGTCCCAGAGCTGCCGCTGTGGGGTTCATTATGGCACTTCTGGGAGGATACCGCCTTGGCCAAGAGCCGATTGCGGACGAAAGCGAGCAATCCCATCCAACGCAGCAGGGGTGAGCTTCTACGGGGGGGAGAGGGAGGGGGAGGGGGAGGAAGAGGAGGAGGAGGAGGAAGAGGAGAAGGAGGAGAAGCAGGAGGAGGACGAAAGGAGGAGGAGGAGGAGGAGGAGGAGGTGGAGGTGGAGGAGGGGAAGGAGGCAGGAGGAGGGAGGAAGAGGAAGGAACAGGAGGAGGACACTTTCCTTGCCTTGGCCTTGATGATGCAGTAGTGGTCGCCAGTCGCGCTCGTCGGAGCTTTGGATTTGGCCACATCCATGCTGACGAAGCCGCATGTAGGCATGCGAAGCCAGAAACGACCGAAACCAACGGGCCTAAAGCCAGAGCAGCAGCCGTCCGAACCGAACCGACGGTGCGCAGAGGGGCGCCAAGCAGCCCAGCCGAGCCGAACCGCGGACACCCTTGGAGATGAGGGGAAACGATCGGGGGGACAGGCTCAACGGAGGAAAATCGACCTGAAATCGGCGATGCATCGCCGATGGGTCGGCAGTACTCAGGCCCCCCGTTGGCAAATCTGCACGGTCCTGGACGGGGTGGGCTATCGGGCCCCTTTCGGCGATGGGTCGGCGGCTGGGGGTCGATGCACCCCCCTGAGCCTGTCCCCTCCTGACGTCGCTCCTGAAACTAGAGGGCGGTCGAGCTCCATATGACCACGGCGCACCTCGCCGTCGCTCAACGGGAGATGGCGCGGCCGTAAGGCGTCGCGGGCAGCGACCTTGCTGGCGGAGCAGACTGCCTGCCGAAGGCGCAATACACTCGAGTTCAATCCAAGTCCTGCCATGAGGAGTTTCCATGTTGAGCCTCAGTCGCGCCGATGCGCACGAAGAGCACCACGATAAACCTGACAGAAAGACCTGACGAGCATGGAGTCTCTTCCGAAACCACACCCAAAATGGAAGCAGTCACAGGGGCCTTCGGTGGAGCCCCCTGTGGGGCTACGAAACGTGTGCGGGGTGTGCCAAAATGAAGCGCGTGAGGGGTGCGCCGAGATTGACCAAGGCAGGAAGAAGAGGAGAAAAAGGAGGAGGAGGAGGAGGAGGAGCAGCAGCAAGAGGAGGAGGAGGAGGAGGAGGAGGAGGAGGAGGGAGGAGAGTAGAGTAGAGTAGAGTAGAGGGGAGGAGAGAGGAGAGGAGAGGAGAGGAGAGGAGAGGAGAGGAGAGGAGAGGAGAGGAGAGGAGAGGAGAGGAGAGGAGAGGAGAGGGAGGAGGGGGAGAGAAGAGGAGGAGGAGGAGACGCACGGCGCTGCGGATTCAAAACAAGGACCCAACACACAGGAGGGTTGGGGAAAAAACAAGACGCAACAAGAGGGCTCCAAGAGCGCCCGCAAGAGAGCCCCGAAAGGCAAACATCAGTGATAGTCCGTACGTGTTAAAAAAAAGGTTGTACCATTCCAATGTTGGGGGGTCCGACGCCCTAACACTGCCCAAGAGGCCCCCAAGATCGCCTGAAGACGGTCCGAGAGACCAACAAGAGAGCCCCAGAATGGCCCAAGGGAGCCCCGAGACGGACCAACAAGCCACCAAGACGGCCAAAAAGGGCCCCACAGCTTCCCCAAGAGGGGCTCAGGAAAGGGACACCGAATTAACATTTCGAGCCCTCCGCCCCTAGAGGACCCCCGAGATCGCCAGCAGGCGCCCAAGAGGCACCCAAGATGAGGCCCCCGCGAGGCATCCCGAGAAACCCAGATTTGCATCCAAGAGGCCTCTGACCCACAGCCCAGGCACGGTGGCGAACTTGGCCCAGGGCCACTAGATTTACACTCTCCAAGACCGCCAGCACGCCCCCAGGAGACCCCAAAAGACTCAAATCATGCTTCCGAGATACCCCCGAGATGCCTTCCAAGAGACACCAACAAACCTCCGAGAGTCCGCGGCCTTTCTGGGGCCTCCCTCCTGATACCCCATCCAAGGTCTGTGGAACCGGCCGTAAGGACTCTCCAATATGATTACCCTTCTGCTGCCACATATGCGCAATTCGGTACGCGCAGACGCTTGCTCTGCGCTGAATCGTCCCAAAGCTCCTCTACTCAGCATTCTAACGCGCGCGCGAAGTCTCAAGACACCATTTCCCTCGACACGTCACCCCTTCCGTTCCTCCTTCTCTCCCTCCTCCTCCGCCTCCTGCTGAGCAGCGTGCGCATGGTGCACACGCGGCGGACGGGCTCAGGAGGTTCGTGAGCGTAAACATATGTTTTACTGTGGATGTGTGCTGCATCAATCGCGGTGCACTGGCCGATGCCGCGTCGTGTGCTCCCCACCCGAAACATGGGGAAAGAGGTGGCTTCAACGCGGGCAGGTGCTGCATCGGAGTATGTGGGTCGCGGTTGAGATGTTCAAAGTTCAACCTTGATTTGTGCAACTTTGCGCACACGCGCGCGTCTGATCGCGCGCGTGTGCCACGTCGGGTTACAAGCATGTCCGGCTAGTCCACTAACCCAGCTGTTCCGCAATGCAGGAGTAAGAGAAGTACGAGGGGAGGATAAGGAGAAGCAGAAGTGGGAGCACAGGCAACATAGGAAAATGAAAGAAAGTGGAGTGCTACCCCCATCTCCTGCGCCATGACCAGGTACGGGGCGGCCTTCACGATGTAGGGCCTCGGAGGGTAGCACACGGCCTCTCATGCACGGCGCTGCTTGGGGCAAGCGACTGATGCTCGGTGCTGCTGACGCTGATGCACAGGGGTGACATTTTTTCAACATCCAGGCCAGTTTGGTCTCTATCAGGTCA